TCCTTTTTCTTTTCTTAAAAGAATAATTTACACTTACTAGCTTCACTTTTAATCTCTCACTTTGTCAAAAAATCAATAGTGTTTAGTATTAATATTGTTATGACTATGTAAATGTTCTTCAGTATGAGTCTCGTAATTACTATGAGTACATTTTGTTTCTTGAACAGCTTCCCATCCCCCTTTGGAATGATAATTGCTTTGTTTCTGTTTGCTTTGTTTGCTGTTGTGTCTAACACTGATTCTTTCCCAAACACTTTAATAGAACTGTAAAATTCCTCTCAATATGGTTAACACTTCAGGTTATCCATTAAATCCATTTTTAAAACCTTTCCCTTTTTCTTGGAGCTATTCCTCTGGGAGTGTTTTATCTTCTAATCTGGACTGGGGGCTCTGTAGGTCTGGTACAAAGCTTATATCTTGCCTGTCTTTTTCCTCATCACCCTGGGAATTTCCTTTACTTCTGATTTGGATCATGTTTCCTGGTTCCTGTGTTTTCTTCTTCCTTGATTTATTTCTTTGTTTTGGTAGAGCACATCCTCTACCACCCCACCTCCTGTCCCGACTCACTCCCAGCCACCCAGCACCAAACCCTCTTTTAAGGCAACTCTTATAACACCTGTGAAGTTTTTACTCTCCTTTCAATTCCCCTGTTAGATTGACCTCACCTTCTTTTGTGACTTCACCGCCCCCTCTGTCATAGCCTTGGCCGTCATACGTATGGAGCACCTAGTGTACATGTCAGGCACTGTGTGCAACACTAGGAAGTCGAAGATTGAGAGAATGAGGTTTTTGTTCCCAAGGAAGTTCTGAAAAATAACACCTTGTTTCTCACTGGAGGCAGTACTGCCCCCTAGCAGCCTTTTTGAAAAAATGGGGGTTGAAAAGTTTTTGGTTACTGCAGTAATGGGAGGGTACATTTTATCGTCAGGGTACATTTTATCGTCAGGAGCCAGGAATGCTAGATGTCTTATATGTCCAGCACAACTTTAGAATATCCCACCAGCTATTCATGTGTGAAAATGTGTTCATAATTATCTAAGAAGCCTAGGACTTAACTCCATTTCACACACAAACCTAAACTATTCTTGGCACTTTCCGCATTGTCATTGCTTATGCAGTGCATGGAAGGCAGCACTTGCTGTCCATCGATGTAGGTTTATAAACAAATTTTTTTAAAAATAGCATGTGTTTATAAAAAATACAAGGATCGCTTATGTGATAGATTATTTTGTAAATCTTGCAATAAAAATGAATGTTTGCCTTGCCCTCTCCATAAAAGTAAGACAACTTTCTGTAGTAAATATTTAAAAAGATTTTGTTCATTATCATGTATATGTGTTTATATATTGAGATATAACATACAGTACACAGCTTGATTAATTTATAAACACACATACACATAAACACATGTAATTACCACCTTGATCTAGATATACCGAGTGTCTGCATACTTAGGAAACATAGGAAAAACTTAGTATGTTAGTTAGATTTCTAAGCAATGTGCCCATTATGTTTTCATGTGTATAATAAATAACAACCCTTAGAAATAACTTAGATAGGAAAAAATTACATTGTTGTTTTTACTAACCTCAAACTGAAATTTAGCATTTCCTTCTATTTTGAATGCAGGAAATAGTGGTGGTATTAGCAGTACCTGTAACTATTTTTGCTACTAGAAGCCACAGATATTTTCAATTTTAGTTGTTGCAGATATCTCACAATATCATGAACACTCATTTTTTTCAAAATACGGTAATTATTAGACTTGCCACTCGATGTTGTTATTTAAATCATTAATGAAGAGACACATATATTACCTATACAAATTTTAATAATTATACTTTTAAATTTTATTTTAAAACATCCTAAATTGTAGAGTAAGCACAGTTATGTGATAGAAATCGCTTGGCTGTCTGCTGCTTGTCGGGAAGGTGACTGGGAAAGGGCACAGGAGAGCTTCCTGGGGTGATGGGAAGGTCCCGAGTCTTGGTATATGTGTATCAAAGGTGATTGAATGCTAAACCTAAGATCTATATTTCACTGCATGTAAATTCTACTTCAATTAAAAAACAAATACATTAAAAAATATTCTAAGAAGGGTCCATGGGCTTCACCAAATTGCCAAAGAAATCTCTGGTGACAAAAATGGTCAAGACCCTTTCCTGAGGCCATCAGGGTTGCCTTTGCCTTTCTGCTTTGAGTGCCATCTTTCTCTCAGTTGCTTTTACTCCCCCCCCCTTTTTTTTTTTTTTAAATAAAAGTGTTCTCACTTTTTTGAGCTAAGGAAAGTCAGAAAAACAAAGTAACAGCTATGAAAGAAATTCTTTTCTTGGCTTATTGCCAGTCTCTCAGAGCCAGTAAAGCTGTGGCCCTCCCCAGCTTAGTCACGTACTTGCTCCGACTTCCTTTACATACATTATACGTGGTTCTGTTATGAAGTAGACATGAACATTTATAACAAAGATTGGAAGAAGATAAAATATATTAGGAATCAGAAAAGCATCAAGGAAGTAAGGAGAAAGAAAAATTAATATTACTGACAATCTATTCCAGATTTACCTAGAAATTGAGTCTAGGTATCTTTGATGTGGTGTGAATATAAATTCTAAGTCCAAGTATGAAATTCATAGTAATACAAATATCAAATATTAACCTGTGTTTATTTTAAAACATGATGATAGTGCTTGAAGATGTTAAACATAGTGGTAGATAACACATCAGACAAACGTTAGGCTTTCTTTTAGAGGCACAGTGTTAAGACTACTCATAATACAACTCTTATTGTCTATCTTATGCTTATAATGATTAGTTTTATGCTACATGTCTAATATTTTCACAGTCCTTTTATTTATCTAGATTAATAAGATACTTGTTTTAATAGATGACAAAGTATCCTAAGAAAGATTGAGTTAAGGTGAATAGTCTTAACAGATGTTTGTCCAGATAGCATTTATATGTCTTTTATGACTTGATAATAGACAAAAAACCTAATACTGTTTGGTGGTTTCTTTGCAGTCTCTCGTGTGGAAAATTTGAAATGCAGAGGAGAAACGATAGCTAAGCAGATGAATGAAGCCATGAAGGTAAAAGCTACATACCAAAAAATTATAAAATGAACAAAATGTATAGCTAGATATTTGCTTTTAACCTCCACATGTGTTTTAGTCTGTTGTAATAGGACTTCTCAGTAGTCTAAAATAGATCTTTAATGAATTTATTAAGCAACAGTAATATTCAGAATAACTACCATTTATTAGGTACCTACTACATGCCAGTATTATACCTGTCTTTAAAGTTTGGTTATATTTTTGAGTTTTTGAGTTTGAGAGCAGTCCAGCAAACAGTTTGGAATAATATACCAGCTAACACCTAGTGAGCATTTAGTATGGGTCAAGCACCATCTAACTGCTTTACATACATTATATTACTTCATTTAATTCTTACAATAAACCAGTGAGATTTGTACTGCTATTTCCCTGTTTTACAGATAAGGAAACTGAGACACAGGCTAATTTAGTTAGAGTGCCCAAATAGGTAACTCAGATTTAAACCCTGGTCGTTTGGCTCCAGAGCCTATACTCCTAACTAGTACATTATACTGCATATCAAATTGGAATCTTAATATTATTATAATAAAGTTGTTTATGTTCTTGGCATATTTTACATAAACAGGAAAACATTTCTATTTCTAGTATATGAAAAATATTTTTAAACTCCTTCATAATCTCCCCTGTTCTTAAAATTTTTATAACATTCTTTTGTGGTTTTTATTGATTTCACGATTTTCTTGTTCTCATGCTTCTTTCATAGCATATTCTTCATCAAGAGTTCACACACAGTGGTGGGCCAGGCTGAAATCTAGCCTGTTACCTGTTTTTGCAAATAAAACTTCTTTGGAATACAGCCATGTCCATTCATTTGCTTATTGTCTGTGGCTTCTTTACATTACAGTGAAAGAGATGAATAATTGTGTCAGAGATGTAAGGCCCCCTAGAGCCTAAAATACTTACTGTATGTCTCTTCACAGGAAAAATGTGCTGATCCTTGCTCTTGATGATTCTCATTTCTAACATACTATCCTAACATGTGGAATTTCAGATATTAAACCCTTAGCTCTGAAATTCTGTTCCTTCTGTCCTACCAAAGTTTTATTTTACTACCAGGCATTTGTAGTAGTAGAATGTACCTTTTTAGTCTTAGCTTTTAGTTAAAATTCTTTAGTTAACACTAGTATTTTAAAGTAAAGTTGAATAACCATGACCTAAAAAATTAGGTCTTAGAAAAAGTCTTGACCCAGAAAATTAAAATGCTAGAGTGTTGTGTCTGTCCCTGTGTGCTTGTGTTTCAGCCTGAGATTAATGTTGAGAATTCCTGTTTGTTTACTTTTGTTTAGTCCTTGCCTGCGTTAATTGAACAAGGAGACGGATTTTCCCAAGTTTTAAAGATGCAGCCTATTATCCAGCTGCAGAGAATCCACCAAGAAGTCTTTTCCAGTTGTTATAGGAAACCAGATGTTAAACCGGAGAGCTTAATAACACAAATAGAAACCACACCAACAGAGACTTCTACCAGGAAAACCACTGATGTGGTACTGAAAAGGAAGCAAACTAAAGACTGCCCCCAAAGAAAATTGTATCCATTGCAGCCAAAGAGAATTAATCTTGATACATAAGCTCTTTTTCTTTATCTTAGGAGTCAAAATTAGGCACTATCAACACTTAGATTACAGTCTAATGCCTAGACAGGACTTCATTTAAAAGAAGTAACTCTTTATTTTAGTCATTTCTTTATACAAATGTAGTAGCTCTGTCCTGGGATATGAGGTAATATTATATTTCTTTCCTCACCATTTCACCTATAGTCGATGAAAAGCATATTTTAAAAATATTGGCACAAAGCCCATCAATGGCTATTAGTGCAAAATCTTTCTGTCCTTAAATGCCATCAATTCTTGGCTGCCTTACAGCTTTCTTGGAGTTTCATGAGTAACATATTTTTGGATATACATCTTTCTTTTAAAAAGAGCTGCGTAACAATTGTATTTATTTAAATACTGAAAAGAATCACCAGTTCTGCATAGGAGCAGATACAATTGTGTTTTGCTTTTTTTTTTTTTTTCCCAATGCAGTTCGATTTATCAAATTAATGTGCAGATAACAAGACTGGCTTTGACTTTGTCACTTTAAGTATAGCTAATTTAGATTCATGGGATTAATTTTAGGAGTTTTGTTTTTGTTTTGTTTTTTGTTTTATAAACACAAAGAAGACTATTTGTGTAAGACTTTCTCTTAGAAATAAAAGTTGGCATGTAGCCAAATGTTTCTTGCCCACATTTGTTTTCCATAGACTTTTTAACTTTTACACACAATTTGACTTGGACTAAAAGTTTCTTTTCAAGATTTCTCATGTTTCTTTGTAAATGATTTCAGTTCAAAAACTATATGTCAGATTAATACATTAACAAATTATCATCGTGGAACAAATATAAATGCAATCATACTGAACTGTTTTACATTTAAGGACATTAATATATCAAGTATGTAATCATTGGTAGAAGTCTGAGAAAGCTATATTGCCCATACTTCTAACATTTAACTAGTTTCTAATAGCTCAATGTCTTTCTTACTCACATTAATACATTGTAGGCAGTACCATCTAACTTGCCAACTGTTTCCCCTTTTGATACCTCTATACCTTCATTTATTTGCAGAGAAATGTACTAATCATGAGGTTGGAAAATCTGTACTTCTCTTTTTCATTATGTCTTAGTAATCATAAATGCCGAAGTGTGACAGAAAGTCTGTCTCAGTGAGGATAACTTACAAAGCCACTTTATTGCATTCTGTATTTTAATACCATAATTTGAATCTGTGTATTTGTACATAGCAGTGGTTTTTTTTATTATTAAAATAATGTACAAAGACTGGAATCTTGATACAGCGTGTTTTTTAGAGTTGGTTTAGGCGTTCTCGAACTCAACTTTAGTTGGATGATAGATCAGCACCTTGCATTTCAGAACATACTAAATTACACTTTTGAATTGTTTTGAGAATATTGCTATTCTAACGCAGTGCTAACTTTTCATATTATAAAATTCTGTATGAATTGTTTAACTTCAAAAGTCTACAAACAAAAGAATTATTGTTAATTCTCCTAGATTAGATAATTGTATTGTGATTATAAAAGAAAATGTTTCCTTTTTAAAAAGATACATATTGAGACACATAGAGTTTAATGTCTCAATGTCTTAGATTTGCTCTGAAGTATGTCAGCAAAGAAAAAAAGGAAAAGGAATAGATTAAACAAATGTGACAAAAATCTTAATAATGTATCTGTGTGATGGAGCTATCCTTTCTACTCTTGTGTCTGGAAACTTTTACAATTTTTTTTTAAGTTTGTTTTATTTTAAAACCCCCAAACAAGTGAAACTTGAAATCCCTTGGAGAGCCCAGAGTTTTACTCCACAGTTACAACAGATTTCCAAGTGAGATACCCTTGGGAAAGACAGTATGTTAGCATTATTAAATAAGATAAACATGGCTGATCTCATTAATAATATTAGGTAAGTATACATTTTTAAGAAGAGAAGTCATGTCTGCATTGGCCAAGAGCTAGCTAGCTAAGATGATGAAAAGTAAGAAACTCTATAGTTACAGGGAATGTTGAAGGGAAAAATAGAAAATGAAATGTTGGCCTCCCTGTGGTAAAAGGAGGCTGGATTGGACGGATCCTTAAAATTTCATCTTAACAAAAACCAAAACAAACAAACACAAAAAAACACAACACAAGAAGGTCAAATCTAGTTCCAAGGGAGAGAGACCACTTAAAGAAGCTGGCTTCTGAAATCAGTGAAGGAAAATGTGTTTTCCAAACTACAGCCATGAGAAGCCGTGTTAGTCTGCTTGCTTTGGTCTAACGAGATACCACAGACTGGGTGGCTTAAACAACAAATTTAATTTCTCACGGTTTTAGAGGCTTGAACTCCATGATGAAGGTGCTGGCAAATATGGCTTCTGGCAGGGACTCTTTTTCCTTCACTGGAAAAATTTTTTTTATTTCCACTGGATCACAGCCCCATTCATATGACTTCATTTAACTTTAATGACTTCCTTCGAGGCCCCACCTCCAAATATAGCCACAGCAAGGTTAGGGATTCAACATACGGATTTTGAGGGAACACAAACATTCATTTTATAACACGAGACAACAGAAGTCTTATCCTAGACCTGGGTCTTTATGGCTTGGGCTGCATAGAGAACAAAGTTAATAAAATTAGACTTTTTATTTGCTTTAAAATGTAGCTATTTCCAAGGTTGAGTCTGACTTCTGTGGAAGGCCTTGATTTTTCCCTTCATTAATTTATCCATTCAACAAGTACATGTTAGACACCTACTCAGTTCAAAAGTCGGAAAGATTCAGAGCGTAGTCTCTGAGCCAGGTCATGGGATTCAGATTTCTGCTCTACTATTATTAAATAGCATTGGGCAGGTTACCTAACCATTCTTTGCTGCAGTTTTCTCATATGTAACATGAGGGTAATGATTAATACCTACCTCACATGGTTATTATGAAAAGTAAATAAGTTCATGATATAAAGGCCTTAGACTAGTACTTGGCACTTAGTGTACATAGTGAGCATTCTACAAAGCACTATTATTGGTTTGATAGAGGAAATGAAAACACTCAGGATAAACATTTTCTTCAAGATGCTCATATTCTCGTGAGGAGAATGAGCACGTGAACAATGATCACGCAATGCAGCAAATGCTATCTGGAAATATGTGTGGGGAACTTTGGGGAGAAGTCATGGAATCGTGGAGGAGGTGACATGTGAGCAGTCTTGACTATTTTAGGCAAATAATCAGGGAGGAAGATTCCTGGCAATGTGTCTTATCAGCTGAGGAATGGATAAATAAAATGTGGTATATCCAATTGATGGAATATTATTTGGTAGTAAGTATGGTACACATTACAATGTGTATGAAACTTGAAAACGTGCCAATTGACAGAAGGCACTCACAAATGCTATAGTCTTCTGTATGACTTCATTTATATGAAATGCCCCGAATACGCACATCTGTAGAAACCAAACAGATTAGTGTGGTTGCTGAGGGCTGGAAGAAGGAAGAAGGCGGGAGGAATGGGGAATGCCTGCTAACAGCTATGGGGTTTCTCTCGGGGGTGATGAAAACGCTCTAAATTTGGTAGTGGTGATGATTGTTGGGTGAATATACTAAAACCCACTGAACTGTATACTTTAAATAGGTAAATTGTATGGTATGTGAAGTATATCTCTTTAAAAAGAGAATAAAGAAATAGAAATAGTACAAGAAATATTCTCAGATACCGGAGGGGAAAAGCCTACTGTGTATTCAGTACAAGGAATGGGAAAAATAAGAAACAACAAAACAAAATCACCTCCACCAAGGCACATCACTGAGAAATGTTAGGTAAAGAGAAATTCCTAAAATCTTCTACCAGGGGGAAAAGATCATGAAGAAAGGGTAAGTGGAATGGCCTCAAACAACTGAACAACAATCCTGAGTCTAGAAGTCTCTGGAGGAATACAATTTGGAAATTGTCAGTATAAATGATTTGCCAGTTAGGATTCTATACCCAGACAAGCTGTCAATCAAGTGTGAGGTTAGCCAAAAGCCATTCTCAGACATGCCATATCTTTAAAAAAAAAAAAGCAAAGAAAAAATTTTTTACCTTTAAAGCATTCTGTTTAGGGACAATTCTAGATGATGTGCTCTACTACAAAGGGTAAATAAACCAAAAGAGAAGCAGCTGTGGGATCTAGAAAAGAAGATTCAAGATAGCAGCAAATGCAAGTCCACAGGACACTCCAGCAGATGTGGAGAAGAGTCCAGTCAGATCAGGTTGGGATACAAATACTTAGGTCTCCAAAAGATGTTTTCAGGAGAAGAAAATGTGACTGACAACATGAGTTAAGACTTTTAACTACCTGGAAAATTACATAAAGGATATAGTATTCAGACATTCAAAGAAAAAAAAAATCAGGCATTTATTACAGTAAAAAAAGTTGTACAAGAAATATAATCATAGTTACATATTGGTTCCACTGTGAACAATATTTATGTAAACATTATAATGAACACCCCAAATGTGAATTCAACAAGAATTTGTGACAGTTGAGGAGTATTGGGAATTAACAATCAGAACTCTTGGATGGTGATCAAAACACAAGAGTCCAGGGTGTCCCAGGATAGGAACTGGATCAGGCAGGGTGGCTGGGGTGGGGCACTGAGGAAGCTTCTGTCCCCATCAGTACAGAAGTTCATTTTACAATATGAAAACAACTCATATGGTTGTAAATGTGTGACCATCCGAATATCAGCCATGAAATGGGAATGTTGGGGAGTGAAATCTTCACCACAGTTGAAAGTCTGCATGATCTAGCTGAATCAGGAGATAGTGCAATGTAGATATTATTCAATAAATACCAGGAAAAAACAGCAAAGAAGAAAATGGTTAACTTTGTGGATGAACCTAGGTAAGGGAAGTAAGCCAAGTGGCTGATTTGTTGTTGTTACAGATTTGATTCTTTAATTGTGTACACAAAATACTTGCATAAAAATAAATTTTAAAGGATTTTAAAACTAATGAATGCAAGTGAATATGAATTATCTTTGACACTATCTTCATATCATTGATAATTAAGGAGTAAATTATATGCTGGAGGCTTTCGCAGGCTTTAAGTTTCATTATGTCGATATTTCAGATAAGACTTGTCGTCTTTATTTTTAGCTGAGAGAATTGGTTTAGGATTTTTGGAGTTCTTTTTTTTTCTTCCCCTTACCAGTTGGTTTGCAAATAGATTCTATTATCAAGCCTCTGTGTATAAAAATAAAGAAAAAAATCTAAAGAACCACCCAAGCGTTTGTGGGAATTTTATATAAAAGGATTAGAGGAAATCAATATTGTATTTATTCGAAACTTCAAGGGTGAAGAGTTCTTCTGCATTCATTCCTTTATCTCTGGTGCTTGGACCCTGTGGGCCCTTTACTAGTATTACTTGAATGAATGAATGCTTTTATATCGCCAATTTCTAACTTATCAGTTCCCCTAGATCATCATCTCGGACATTAATGACTTGTGGCATTCATATTCATTATTAATTGAGCTTAGAAGATGGGCTCGCTATTGCAGGGGTGGGAGTGGGGATAAAGGACTGAGGGCAAATCACTACAAACTGCTGGAATTAGAACTTGAGTTTTCTAGCTGTTAGAGCTGAAGTCTAATCCCCACATCCCTGCAGGTCAGAGCTGAGGATGGCTTCACACCCTTCACACCGACTCCATGATGCTAGAGATATATTTGCCCTTTGGCTGCATTCCCTTGACTTCTGGGTGGCCTGAGGTAGCCAGAGAAGACCGGGCTCCTCAGGGTCCCCTGCTTCAGCTCCTTCCCGTGCCTGTGAAAGTTCAGGCCCCCTGCCTGTGGGCTCACACCTAGTCATAGATTTTAAGGCCCCCCTTGCTTCCCACATGTGTTGCTCTGTGACCCACATCTTCCGTCATGGCGGCGCTAGAGCTCTCTGTCCATTTCTGCCCCTCATGTCACCTTGATGGAACATGCTCCTCTTCACCAGTCCCTAAGTGTCTGAGACTTGAGCATTTCACTCTTTTGTTTCCTGCAAACTCTTCTTAGGTTTAATTCTTCCATGAAGCAGCCAGTGGTTACCCTGCCGCTCAGGGTCCTTGCTGCCTTTGTCATTCGCCAGCCTGTCAGTCCTCCCATCGCTGTCCTTTGCAGCACCAGCTGGTTCGTGGCCCTTTCCCTTTTCTTTGAGCCATTTGACAGTTGAGCAGGTAGGAAAAGGAGAAGAGGGAGGCTTTGACATGTATATCTTGCTACATCCCCTTCCCTGTCAAAAAAAAAAAAAAATTGAGTGGGAAAAGGTTA